AGATAAGTGTACTACGGGTCTTCAGGGTGCAGTAGTAGGACAGATAATAAGACTTGGTGGTCTTCAGTATAACTAGAAGGAATAGAATTGCTGACTCATCTCTCCATTCCATATGAGCAGTCAAACAACCCAGATGGGTTCTGGGCCAGCCTTGGCCAGAGCAAAGGTAAAGAGGGAAGGATGCCCTTAGTCGGGGCAGGTCTGGGGAGAGAAGAGCGAATGAAGAGTCGTGGAGGAAACCAGAAAGGAGAAAGGGGCAGTTTTCCCTCCCTCACACCATACTTTCCTGACAGTTTCTTCTTCCTGTTAACAGTGAGAAGAACTATAAAAATAGATATCGAAAATGCACAGAAACCACAGACCGAGCAAGAAAGCCCATGGAAGTCAGAATGAGGGTTTTGATTAGAGAGGGCAAAGTTGTTAGTAGATAGTGGAAGCTGCTCAGAAATACTTTCTCTGGACACTTTCCTTTTTTCATTGGCAAAACAAGGGGACTAGAACAGATAATCTATAAGATCCAATCTAAATCCTTTAATCGCGTACATCAAACTATCCTGAAACCTGCAAAGCCAAGTGCAAGCCCTGAGAGGGTTTGACCACAAGTAAAGACAAGCGAATTATTATGATGCATTCTAATAAAAATAAAACCTGATGAAGGAAAAATTAAAGATTAATGAGAAAGTTTCCATCTTGTATCTTATGGTTTATTTTTTTTTAAAGTGTGGGGACTCTAGTAATTATTAAAACAGTTAAATATAAAACAAAAATATTTTAATTTTTAAAAAGAAGTAGAAAATTATTGGTTAAACCTTGATCTCAAAGCCAAAGTATGAGAACACTGCATAGTTATGTACCTCCCTCTCCAGTCTGCACTGAGACTACCACTTGATAACAACTACCCACATTTGAGGGGCAACTTTTTGAGAGGTTAATAAACCCCTCTGAGAACTAAATTTGCAAATCCCAAGTGAATAAATAACAACTTAATGACACCTGCTTTTTACATTTCATTACTTCTCCTTAATCCCATGCATTCTGAATTAGATTCCCATCATTCTACTGAAATGCCTCTTTATAGCAAAATCCTGTGATCAATTTTCTGAGGTTCCTTCTCACTCAAGGTCTATGATCCTATGAACTTTCCTCAGTCACCATTTTCTCTGATAGCTCTGATGCATTTTTTTAATATTTTCTTTATTATTATTATGAACTAGACAAACAGGAGTGACAGCTAGCTGCCACAATGTGTATAGAGTGCAGGGCCTGGAGTCAGGAAAACCTGACTTCAAATCAGACACTTACTAGCTGTGTGACCTTGTGCAAGTCATGTGACCCTCTATGCCTCAGCTTCTTCATCTGTAAAATGAGCTGGAGAAGGAAATGGCAAATCACTCCAGTGTCTTTGCCAAGAAAAACCCAAGTGGGGTCACATAGAGTCTGACACAACTGAACAATTAAAAAACTCTGGGCCAGTCATTTGACCTCTATGTAATTCAATTTCTTTAAAAGAATAGGCCATAAACTTAAAATCATGTAAAAGTGAATATTGAAAACTATCTTTACATGTAATTGGAAAAAATAAAATACTATTAAGTGGGGAAAAATACTATTAAGTAGAAAAAATAAAATACTATTAAATGAAAAAAAGTAGAAAAAAGGTGCTTGCTGTCTTAGGAAGGGGGCAGGTGAGAGAGGGAGAAAATTTGGAACTCAAAACTTTTAAAAAATGAAGGTTAAAATTGTAATTGGAAAAAATGAAATATTATTTAAAAATATTGGTTTTTTGCCTCCTGCATTAGTTTGTGAGTTCCTTGAGGACAGGGACTCTCTTTTATCTCTTTTCTTATCTTTGGTGCTTGCCATAGTCTAAGTATACAAGTAGTAGGTACACAAAAGCAAATAGTAGGTGTTTAATAAGTGTTGTTGATTAATTGACTAAATAAAAAAAGAAAAAGATATTTCCCCCCAAAAAATTATTCTGTTTTTACAAACAACATCTAATAATGGTACTTTAGAAATCACCTTGAATATATATGGAATTATTTTACCTAACTATAAATAATTGCAAATTATGTTTAATTTATTGCATTGTGTGATATTATCAGGTTAATAATAAATCATTTAAAATATAAAACAAAATAAAATTCTCCAAAAAAAAGGAGGAGGAGGAGGAGGATAGGCCATAGCAGTGGAGGGTATTTCTGGTGTGTGAAATCCAAGGGTGAATTGATCTTCAGTTTCTGGGTCATACTAGAAAAAGTCCAGGAGAGTTCTGAGTATAACCTTACTTTAAACCAGGAACCTTATCCATGATGCCAAACTGCCTTATTCTGTGAGGAATCATAATAATAGTTCTGTGTGGCATTACCAAATATTGGAACTCTGGGTAGATAGGCAAGTCTCTTAATCTCTCTGGAATTCAGTTTCATCATCTGTAAAATGAATGAGTTGCAGTAAATGGTCTCTGAGATCTCTTTCAGTTCTAGATCTATGTTCTATGAGCCTAAGATTGAAAAAGCAGTCTTATCAATGTAGTGGTAGTCGGACTTTTCTGAAGACTCCATTGTTTTTCCTCCCTTGTAAAGGGCAGCCCACACTTGACTGATTATTTTGCCTCTTTTTCTGTATGAAGAAATATTGCACAAATTGATAGTTTTGAAACCAAACTTTGTCCAGTATTACAAGAAAAGCAGCACAGGAAAGACTATGCAAGACCGCTTTGTAATTCCCAGTTCAAAACTTGGCAGAACAAAAGCTATGGTATGTCACTACAGTGCTCTTCTTCCTCAATCCCTAAATTTGATAGTTCCTTGAAGAAGATACCTAAGTGGTGTATAATAATATTTTATGCATCCATATAACATATATGCATAGAGAAATAACAAAAGTTTACAAGGCCTGATAGGCAGAAAAAGATATTCTAGAACAGAGAACATACACATATGTGTGTGTGAGTATATATTTCTTCTTACCATGGGAAAGTAAAGGGTGATAATGTCCTTACGTACTCTGCATTTTGAAATATATTTTATATGTACTTCCCCATTTGTGCTGTCTGCCAAAGGGATATATATGCTGGAGATGCTAGTCAGGGCAGAAAACTTCAGTTTATTTGATCCACCGACTATAGCTTAAAAGGTAATATTACCTTCCCTTTGTTCTGGAGGAGAAATCTCACAAGAGGAGAGATGAGTGCGGGAATGAGCTAGAAGACAAGAGAGACACATTGGAGAAGCACAGGGGTGAGCAATATAGCTACCTGGAATTGACCTTGATGCTTCTGACTTTGCCTGCAGCTGCTGCAAGAATAGCGGGAGGCGAGTGATAAGAGCCTGAGAAGGGTACAAAGGAGGGCCATTTTAGAACTGACCATTCTGGAGAAATGATACCAGATGGTGATTTTTGGCTTTCCCTCCTCCTCTTTCTTTCTAACTGGAAGGTCTTAGATTCCAAGCTTGCCTATTCGCTGTAGTTTGCTTACATTTCCTTTCAATTTGTATGGGGAACTTGGCATTAGATAAAAAATGTACTCAACCATACCAACTTCAGATTTTTATGTGTTTCATTTTGGGTAATGGAAAACACAGGAAAGGGCAGTGACTAGCGTGTGTGTGTGTGTGTGTGTGTGTGTGTGTGTGTGTGTGTGAGAGAGAGAGAGAGAGAGAGAGAGAGAGACAGACAGACAGACAGACAGACAGAGAGAATGAGACAGAGAAAATAAACTTTGCTAGAAGTCACTAGTATTTGTCTTGATGGGAGGGGCTCTATAGTTAAATTAAAATAATCATTGATTTTAAATTCCACAACTTCCCCAAAGAGGGAAAGATTAAGTAAATCCAAACCTAGGCAAGATCTGAGCCACAAGTAAGTTTTAGGCAGTTGGGGAAGTTTGGTGAGTTAAATAAAGTTGGAGGAAGTTCCCTCAGAAGCACTGGTCTTCAGGAACCCATGTGAGGCGGCGCTGCCAGTGGTGACTGTAAAAATCACAGTTAGTGGGAGGAGAGTCATTCCTCCAGCACATGGTTGGAGGCCATCCAAGAGGGAGTAGCTACCTGTTTACTTTAGCCGAACACTGCTCCCTCCCCATCAACTGCTATGTACCTATACACATACAGTACATATACATATACCTGTACATATACCCTCACATACATACACAATACAGATGTACACAGTACCTACATGTAATGCATGTATACATGTGTGCACGCAGAATACATAACATATATACCTGCTACAGTACACATCCATGCACACACATACACAGCATATGCTGGTAATATGTATATGTTTACATGTATACATGCACTACAGGTACATGCATTAAACGTGCGAGCACACGCACACATACTGAAGAGTAGAGGCCATTTTTGTTCTCATTTGTTTCACTGCTTCTTGTTTTGGCAAGGATGACTTCATGTCAGCTTTTTTCTACTCTTGTTGCTGTTGTGTGTTTTAAGCAACTTTACATGGTTCTTTATTTTTATTGTTCTCTGGCTTGGTGAGGAGTTTTGAGGATACTTGTCCTCTACCTTCCCCCACACCTGAATTAGTTTCAGAACTCTCTTACTTTTTCCTGAGGGTTCAGAGGTTCAGGGTCTCTCTTGCTTTCTGGCCTAAGCAGAGCCTTAACAAACACCAACAATAACCATCAAATGGGAACTAAGCCCAGGAATGTCTTCACTGTTCTGTATTATCTTCCCATAAGTTCCAGTTTCAGTCCCAGAAGTTGTTATATCCATATGTTTTATGAATTCTCTTTCTCTCTGTGCACGTCTGTGTATGTCTTCTTTTCATGAACCTTAGCCCTATTTAGCTACTTTCTTTGAGTCTTCTCTATTCTTTAAGTTGTTAAAGCTAAGTTTCTAGGGCAACGTAATTGAGTTAATTCTTATTTTAATGAACATTTTGCTTACTTGCCTGAGCTAAAATTTCCCCAATATGATCAAAGTATATTTTAATCCCGGATGCTTAATAAATTTGCACTCTTCGTTTTCAAGGAAGGACCTGTGTAAGCAAGAGTAACTGGGTGCAGTCTGCCAAGACACGCTATTGCCAAGGCTAAAAGCTTCCACGTTCATTGGGCTGAATGTAAAAGAAGCATATGCTCATGAGAAAAGTTTCTGGGAATTTGTATAAGAAGCATATGTTCATGTAAAGAATCTTGCTAATGGTTTTGGTGGTAAGTATGGGCATGCATGTGTGTATGCATTTCCATGAATTGTATAGGTGATGATAGAGTATTCAGGCAAAATAATGTTTGTGTCACAGTGAGTGACCACAAATGACAGTAGCACAATTGTATTCTTGGCTAGACTTGGCCTAGCTTTCATTTCTATTAGTTTGTTGAAGAAGTGTTTATGTATATAAACTGAGAAAGAACTTTGAATGCTAGATTTGAAATATTCTTGAAATGTGCAACTTAGAACTATGTTAGTAATTAACAGTTCTATGAAGTTTTAGTTTTAAAGCTAGAAAGTTTGGGCCTTGAGACTTCCTATGTAAATGAAAGAGGAAGAGAATTTGGAGTTTTGGCTTTGTGATGTCCTGTAATAGTCATACTCACATGCAATCTTCCTTCTCTTCTGACTGTTATAAAGTTTACTTTATTGTTTGTTTGTGTGTTTTAGGCAGTTGGGGTTAAGTGACTTGCCCAGGGTCACACAGCTAGTAAGTGTCAAGTGTTTGGTCTGAGGCCGGATTTGAGCTCGGTACTCCTGACTTCAGGGCCAGTGCTCTATCCACTGCGCCACCTAGCTGCCCCTATAAAGTTTACTTTAAACTGTACTGGGCAGGTGCACAAAGCTGCTCTGGGACAGGTGTTTAGGATAGCTGTTAATCTTGGCTCAAATTAATATATGGATTCTGAAACTTATTGTCTTCCCATTTTGGCAACCACTCACCACCAAAGACTTGGAATTCCTTTATAAAATGCTTCCCTTTTTAATCTTACTGAAAATCAATGCTTGTTTGTTATTACCAACAAAACCCAACAAGATAAGCTAGAAAGGGAAATTCCATTACAAATAACTACATACTATATAAAATGTTTTGGAGTCCACCTACCAAGAGACACACAGGAACTCTGGATGGGGGAATATAACATCATCATCATCATCACCAGCATTTACATAATACTGTGTGCCAGGCAAAGTGTTAAGTGCTTTACAATTATTATCTCTTTTGATCCTCAGAACAGCTCTGAGAGGTAGGTGCTGTTATTATTATTATTCCCATTTTACAGTTGAGGAAACTGAGGCAACAGAGGCTAACCAAACAAGGAATAAAGAGGATCAAAAAGAGAAAATTTTGATTACATAAGATTGAGCAGCTAGTTGCTGCAGTGGATAGAGTGTTAGGCCTGAAGTTAGGAAGACTCATCTTCCTGAGTTCAAATCTGGCCTCAGACACTGCCATAGCTGGGCAAGTTAACCCTGTTTGCCTCAGTAAAATGAGCTGGAGAAGGAAATGGCAAACCACTCCAGTATCTTTGCCAAGAAAACCCCAAAAGGGGTCATGAAGAGTAGGACACAATTGAAAACAACCAAACAGCAACAAAAATGGAAAAGCTTTTGCACAAATAAAATCAGTGCGGTTAAAATTAGAAGATAATTAGATGGCACAGTAGATAGAGCACCGGCCCTGAAGTCAGGAGGACCTGAGTTCAAATCCAGCCTCAGACCAAAAACTTGACACTTACTGGCTGTGTGACCCTGGGCAAGTCACTTAACCCCAATTGCCTAAAAAAAAAAAAAACCCAACCCATAAAATCAGAAGATAAACAGTTAACTGGGAAAAAGTATTTGCAGCTAGTTTCTCTGATAAAGGTTCTCATACCAATAAATGATTCAAATGTACAGGGTGTCTCAAAAGTCTCAGTGCAGTTTTAAGCTTTAGTAGATTAAATATAAAATAGCTATTAAAAGTTAAAACTGCATTAATACTTTTGGGACACCCCATATAAGAACAAGAGAAATTATCCAATAGATAAGTGGTTAAAGAGTATTAAAAAAAATCTAAGCTACTAACAATTACATTAAAAAATGCTCCAAATCACTAGTGATAAGGAGAGAGATAGAGGGAAGGAACTGAACCAAAGATTTCATTCGTATAGGGAGCTCCCAGGTGAAGAATCTCCCTCTAGCATGGCAGACCTTCACCTCCTGGATGAGAGGTTTAAGTGACTCACCTGGAGTCGGAATCAGTATTTTTTAACACTGAGATTTACCACAAAGTAGGCTAATGTTTATAGACTGGGTCAGCTGTATGGTAGCTGTAGCTAGGAAGCTACAGAAGCAGGATTCAAACCTAGGCCCTTCCTTCTTATCCCAAATGTAGCTCTTTTCCCGCTATACTCTGCTGCCTCTCATTATTGGTCATTTGGGGAAATGGTCAAGTAAAGAATGCCTCTTTGAATTTTCAACTTGTTTCTCTTGTCTGTAGATTTGGCTTTGAAGCCAGGAAGACCTGGGTTATGTAGTACTTACTATATAGTGAGTACTAACTCACAGGTCCAGTGCCTTTCCCAGTAGCACCTACTTCACAGGGTTTTGTGTGGATCAAATACGATAATACATGCAAAGCTCTTTGTAATCCTTAAAGCTCTATATAAATGTTGGCTATTATTATTAAATTGTACCTCACAATCCAGAAAGCTCTCATTTCTCAGGGAGTAAGGTGCCTGGGAAACATTACATTAAATGAGGGTCCATATGTTTATCTAAGACCTGACCATGAGCTCACACAGATATAATCTAACTATATAATTAAGGGTCCTAGACTCAGACTCAGATCCTTAGGCAGTTAGTATCTTACTGGGAAAGGGATCATTTTCTACAGTTTTTCTTCTCAGCTCAAACTGTGAGTCATTTATTCCAAACTTGCCTGCTTATTTCCTATAGATCCATCTAAGAGGGAGAAAGTGAGAAGGTTGCCCTGTTCTATTAAAATTATGTGTACATACAAGGGGGGGAGGGGAAGAGAGAGAGAGAGAGAGAGAGAGAGAGAGAGAGAGAGAGAGAGAGAGAGAGAGAGAGAGAGAGAGAGAGAGATTGACTAGGAGTTAGAACTAGGAATCTGCTGTTTAAATACCCTAGATAATTTCCTATAACAAACATAGTTAAGATTGGTGAAGTAGCCTCTAAGTTAATGTTAGTGAAATAGCCATTGGAGGGCTAATCAGTTTCCTTTTCTCCTTCAAGTTTTATTGTTTCCTTTTGTATTTACACGCAGTAATTTATTTCTGCTTTAACCTTACCACTGCTGTACTCTCCCTTGCAACAAAACTCAACATCACCATAACCATGTGATAGCCATAGTTCTGCACCTTTCCACTAAGAGGAAAAATGTGCCTTTCACCATCAATTCTCCAGGACTGAGATGGATCATTACAGTTAGTTTGATTGCCTTTTAGAGATGTTTTCATTAACATGATTGTTCGAATCCTGATTATTATACTTTGTATCTGCTTATAGAAGTTTTACTATATTTCTCTGTATTTCTCGTGTCTATTGTTTCTTAATCCAGCCTTCCAATTTATGGGCAAATTTGAGGACAATACCTTTAGAAAATAGAACGGAATTACTTATCCTTGATAACCAAAATTAAGCCTTCTTTTACATGTTGAGAACATTGTATACACATAAAATGTCCATTAATTTTAAGAATTGATCAACAAAAAGGACAGCTATACAAAGTAAAATGTGGAAACATATTTTAAAACCTCATTTTTAGTTTTTTCTTTCCTATCCCTTTGCTTTTGGAGATTGGCCTCCATGTCTTGTCCAGGCTGGGAGTATAGTACTATTCAGAGTCCTAATTCCAAAACTGATCAGCAGGGAAGCTTTAATGTGTTAAGTTCCTCCAAACCCTTCAAACAGCCCGGAGTTGGACTTAACCCCTACACCCTATGGGCTTCACCCATACTATAGCTAAGAACTCCTATATTCAAGGGATCCACCTGCTTCAGCCTCCCCAACTTCTCCCCCTATTACAAGCACCATGCCTGGCCATTTTTAGTTTTTCCAGAAATATTAAATACTATTTCCCTTGTCAGGCAGTTAGGTGGTGCAGTGGGTAGAGCCCTGGACCTGGAATCAGGAAGATTCCTCTTTGTGAGTTCAAATCTGGTCTCACAGTTACAAGCTGTGTGACCCTGGTCAAGTCACTTAATCCTGTTTGCCTCAGTTTCCTCATCTGTAAAATGAGCTGGAGAAGGAAATGGCAAACTACTCTGGTATCCTTGCCAAGAAAACCACAAATGGGGTCATGAAGAGTCAGACATGACTGAAAAAATACCAACTCAACACCACATTTCCCTGGTCAAAAAGCCCTTTACAGACTTCCTTGTTTGAAAGTGGATTAGATTGAGGGCAAAAAGGCCTTTCTTTCATAAGGAAATAGATAAAGGATAGAAACCAATCATTTAACAAAGAGTAACTTGTATATAAGATAATTGCCTTCTCTGTCCCTGAAGTGACTAGAATGTTGACCTATCTAAGGGTAATCACCTCTTTATTAATCTTCCTAGGACTTCCATAGACCAGAAGTCCTATTTCTAGCTTGGCATTCAAAGTCATTATCCAGGAAAGGAATTCCTGTGGAGAAGGGGTCAGCCACCCTCACCAACTACCAACCATTTGCTACCTATGGGGTAGGCAATCCTGCCCAGCTGAGGCACCAAGGCATCCTGAGAGAGAGATAGGAGGCATTGTGTGCTAGGTTAAGTCAAAGTACCATCATGTCAACCATGTTATTGGGGGGATGTTATTCCCCCAAAACATCAGAACTGCTTTCAGCCCAGTACCTATAGTTAGTCAGTTGACAAACATTTATTAAGCACCTACTATATCCCAGACACTGTGCTAAGCACTGGGGATACAAAGAAAGGTAAATGACAATTCCGGCTCTCAAGGAGTTGTTGTTGTTTGTCCTTTGTTGTTGTTTTCTGAGAGGACCAATGACACCCCAAGTGCTGTCTTGACTCATGAGTGAATTGGTCTTAAGTGAGGCAAAATTGCACAAAATCATCAGCCTTACTCTCTCTCTTCCAGAGTCATCATAAGTCCAGTGGCAAGACAAAAATCAGAATGACTGGTGATGGCCCAGGATGTAGTGGATGACCATGGCATCTTTGATGGTTGACCAAGATCTAAGCAGTTGCCTTCATGGCCTACTCTGCTGGGGGAAGTCTTCACGTGTTTGGGGTAGACATCCCCCTAACTCACCCATGGGTTTGAGACTCATCTGTTGGTTACCCTCAACCTCGTTTAGCCCGTTTGCTGACACATTTAAGCGGGGGTGGCCACTGCACATGCTACAGCTTCTTGAAGCAGCAAGTGAGAGCGCCAGGCAAACACCAGGGTGGAAGAGCGCCCCAAAAAGGGCTCAGCAAGCCCTCACACCAGAGATGCTAGTCCATCTTGACACCCTGTATATCCCATTGGCTCACAAGGAGCGAATGGGAGAGCCAACATGCAAACAACCACAGACAAACAAGATATAAACAAAACAAATTGGAGATAATCAGTAGAGGGAAGGCATTAGCATTAACAGAGGCAGGAAAGACTTTTTTGCAGAAGGTGGGATGTTAGCTGAGACTTGAAGGAAGCCAGGGAAGTTAGGAGGTGGAGGTGAGGAGGGAGAGAGTCCCAAGAGTAGAATTCTGGTATGACAGACAGACAGTGAAAATGCCTGCAGTGGGGAGATGGAGTATTTAGTGTGAATAGCAGGGAGACCTGTGTCACTGGATTGAAGAAGAGTATGTGGGTAGGAGTGTTGTAAGGAATAAGAAGACTGGAAAGGTAGGAAGGGACATGCTATGGAGGGCTTTAGAAGTCCCAAAGAAGATTTTATATTTGGTCCTGGAGGTGACAGAGAGCTACTAGAGTTTATTGATTATGCATGTGTATGATGGGGTGGGGGTGGGGTTGGTGATATGTTCAGACCCACACTTTGGGAAGATCAATTTGACAGCTGAATGGAGGATAGACTGAAGTGGGAAGAGGCTTGAGATGGGGAGACCAACCAGCAGGCCATTGCAATAGTTCAGACATCAGGTGATGAGGGCCTGCATCAGGATGGTGGCAGTGTCAGAGGAGAGGAGAGTACATAGAGGAGATGTACAAAGGTTGAATTGAAGGGACTTGGAAATTGATTGGATATGGGGTGAGAGAATGAGGAGACCTGGAGGTTACCTAGGGTGTGAGTCTGTTTGACTGGGAGGAGAGTGATATCTTCAACAGGAATAGGAAAGTCAGAAAGAGGGAAGGATTTGGGAGGGAGAGGTAATAACTTTGATTTTGGACATGTTGAGTTTAACATGTCTATAAGATACCCAGTTTGAAATGTCCAATAGGCAGTTGGAGATGAAAGACTAGAGGTCAGAAGAGAGGTTAGAGTTGGACAAATAAATCTGAGATCATCTGAATAGAGATGATAGTTGAAATACAGCTATCCTCAAGGGCAGATATTGTAGAAGGACCTACCTTCCTCATCACCACGAGCAATATCTGCTGACCAACCATCACCAATGAGCAGATAAGCACAAAAGCCCTGGGAGTGGCAGCACCCTACCCCCACTCCCAGACCACTGGCTCTGTTAGAAGCCCAGACCTGATAACTATTATCCTGGGAAGCAATTCCTGTTGAGAAGGGCCTACCTATCCCCACCAACTGCCCATCAACTGCCACCTGCAAGGCAAACAGGTCAGCCTAGCTGAAGCAGCAAGGCAACCTAAGGAAAGAGACGGGCAAGTCAGGCAACCTTGACCACCATCTCTCCTCATACCTTGATGAAGATAACCCAGGATCTTAAGTAAATCCAAGAGCCTTGGGATAGCAATGCTTTCAGCCCGGTGGCCATAGCTATCTTCCTTGAAGCAACAAGATGCACCCTGGTCAACTGTGCTCCTGGAGGTGCCACAGCCACAGTTCCTGGAGACTCAGAAAAGTTTTCACTTACCATCAAAGTCCTGGGCAATGTTGAATGGTTCCATGTCAGAAACTGATATGACTATCAGTGGACTGGGATATTAAAGATGAGGCATTACTGTCTGCTTTCCCGAAGCGCCCTAAGGACTGTGGGACTTTCCATCAGACTTGCAGATGAAACCTTGCATTTGTTGTCTCCCTCATTAGAATGTGAAGTTCTGGAGAGCAGGGGCCATCTTGCTGTTCTGTTTGTATCACCAGGACTTAGCACAATGCTTTGCACGTAGTAAAAGTAAAAGTTAAAAAAAGTAAAAGTAAAAGCTTAAAAATTGTTTTCTTCCTTCCTTCCTTCCTTCCTTCCTTCCTTCCTTCCTTCCTTCCTTCCTTCCTTCCTTCCTTCCTTCCTTCCTTCCTTCCTTCCTTCCTTCCTTCCTTCCTTCCTTCCTTCCTTCCTTCCTTCCTTCCTTCCTTCCTTCCTTCCTTCCTTCCTTCCTTCCTCCTTCCTCCTCCTTCCTTCCTTCCTTCCTTCCTTCCTTCCTTCCTTCCTTCCTTCCTTCTCCCCTGAAAAGATTAGCCCTAGATGTACTTGGGGGAAGTGCCCTGAGGACTTCAAAGGGAAGCACCCTTTTCTATTATTCAGAAGAGATTTGCCCTCTTTTATTCTGAAGATATTCTTCAACAACTCTCAAAAGGGGGACCATGAAGTCAAAAAAAAATTCATAATAATGTTAAGGTGTTCAGATTTTGCTAAATATAGATAGCTATAACCCACATAAATGAAAGTACTTTGAGGAGATCCTCAATAATTTTAAAGAATATAAAGGGGTCCTGAGACCAAAAAATTTGAGAACTGCTGTCCTGTATCAATTTTGGGAGGGAATCCCATTGATTTCTTGACCAGAATAGTCCAGGAAGAAATGATACTTTTTTCTTTAACTCAGCCTTCCTGGAATTTTGACCCTAAAACTGTCCTTTAACATATTATCACCCTAGAAATGTTCCATCAAATTGTATTGAGGTAGAGAGCTACATTGGAGGGCATGTTTGAAGTCATTTTGAAGTTTGAAGTCAGTTTGAAGATCTCTCTAAGGCAGAATTGACTTAAATATTAGATTAATCATAAATTAAATAAAATTACTTCTGCTAGATTTTCTTAAAATAAAAAGTATTTTAAGCAGCTCAAATACATTTAGTGGGTATTAGTTTGATCAGGGATTTCCTTTGTACTTTGGAGGTGTATTGGGGATGGAGGAGACTTGTGACTGATTTTGCTATCTTTACATCTCTTTTCTAACCCACCCAGTACACCCGATAAAATAGTATTAGGAATATTACATGAGTAAAAGGATTGTGCTCTTAAAATTTCTGGGTGTAAAAATTCCCCATTATTAAGTAATTAAATTCATTAGCTAAGGGCAGATGCAGAAAGGAGGATTTAGGTTTTTTTCCCTTGTTTTGTTTTTTGTACTTTCAAGCTTTCACTGGAGAGGGTTTTTCTGGTTATAGAAAGGGAAGAGGCAATTTCATATGAGATCAAAAAAAGGACAGAGGGGAATTAGGGGGAACCGGAAACCCAATAAGAGATGGTACAGGGAGATAGCATCTGTTACACATTTCCCTTCTACTGCCAAATTTGGAATGAGAAAAATATAGAAATATATAGTTGGGAGTTTTATGTAACATCATTAAAATACATTTTCTAAGAATTAAAAATATTCCTGTTACTAAAAACAATAGCATTCATTTTTTAAAAAGTGGAACTGAGGAAATACAAATAAAATGAGGACAAAAGGACTTGAGAGAACATGTGCATTCACTCAAGGCTGTGTGATATCCGTTATGACAACTAAAAAGGTCAACTCCATTCCCATAAAGAATCTGTGTGGCAATTTTTCCTCAGTTGGAGGGGTTTGGGAAGGAAAGATGTGTGAGATTCCTAAAACCTACGCTATAATCCTAAATTAGCATTATGCTGAGGGTACTATATAGATAATCCTTATTTTTGTGGAAAAGTATCAGGAAAAGTGATTTTCATAGATTCGACATCTTGTTCTCTTTCAAGCAAAGTATATTAGCTCAATTATGGGGTTATAGATGGTATAAACTCCTAAAACCAGAATTTTCTCTTGAAAAATCTTTAAGTAGAGTTTGTCACTAGGGGTACTGAGTACTGGGAGTGCTATCTCAAAGAATTCCTATAAATTCTCTGTACTCATTAAACTTCCTTCTCATTAAGCTCAGGACTCTTTATGTGGTTTTCCTTGGAAATTAGTTTTCTTCTTCCCTTATATTGCCGTTTTCAATGCTTGTCAGAGAATTTGAGAAGTTTTTACTTCCTCTTTTCCTCCTAATTTTCTTAATCAAAGGTATTTCCATCCAGATGACTATATACCATTCACCTTGCCTGTTTTTTTTGAAAGTTTGTTCTAAACTTTTTTTTAACATTACTACCATTTCTTGATCCTATCGTCCAGAGAGTCTTATAACAAAAATAATTATGAAAAACAAACTGAAATATCAACCCCACCTAATAGCTATGCAACATTCACCATCCCTAGTCTACCACTGCCCTCTTAACAGTGTCATTATAAGTCCTCTGCAATCAAGATTAGTCATTATATAAATCTGAATTCTGAAGTCTTTGAATGTTATTTTATGTTACATTGTTGTGGCTATCATGTAGATTGTTCACTCACGCCTTTCTCTGAATTTCTAATATCCATTGCTACTTATAATGCAATACTAGTTACATTTATATATTATCATTTGTTCAGCCTTTTCCTAGGCAATGGGCACATACTTTATGAGTATTTTAGTATTTATTCACCTTAACCAGTTAGATAGGCCCTCTGTGAGAACCATTCCTAATGTTCAAGTGATGTCTACAGAGTGGCCCAGAAATCTTAGAAAGGAAGGGTTTAAAAGACAGCCCAAGAACATGGCTATGTATGCTGCTGTTGGACAGCTCTTGTATACTAAATTTCTCTCCAGTCCTTAGGATGGCTTCTCTACAGATACCTAAGCTCTTTGGTTATCTCTTTGGGCTAGATTCTCCCTCCTAATATTGAATACAAACAAGTTTTACCCACTGATAAAATTTTCTGTCTCCCAGGCGTCAGGAGTTGAATTGTGGTTACATACCCATGGGAGCTTCTGAAGTCTCTAGACTTAAACTGGGGTTACTCAGATCAAGAGCTCCATGCTGGATGTCATATATACAACAGAGGTCTAGGCTAGCCACATTTACAAAATTCAGAGTGACATTTATACATATTTGATCACTCATGTGTTTTTGCTCTCTCTGTAAATTAAAAGCTAACCCAAATATATTTAATATTCTTTTAAAGTGGATTGGGTCATTCCTGTTTTTAAGAGTTTGTCATTTATTATATAGCATGTCTCCAAAGTCTTAGTGCAGTTTTAAGTTTTAATAGCTTCAGCCATATAACTGTTACATACTAACAAATAATCATTTGAAAATTTTCATTAAAATTTTTTACGCTCATTTGGTTTTATAAATTATGAATAACAAAATTTTCATTTTAATAAGACAAACTATCTTTTTTGTGTGTGGAACAGTTTCTGGAAAACTGCTTTCT